TACGCTCTACAAAAAGAGAGTCCAATACAAGTACACAATTCAGGTCCTTCAATCACTTCCACAATTATTAATCCAAAAGAAGAAAACTGGAGGCTATGCTGGGGCTCCTGTATTCGATATTAATACATGTAAATTAACCATGGACTCAGAAATGAATTGTAGGTCACACTGATGTAGGAAGTGTCTGTACATGTTGGACTAGATGACGATGTACAGTACATGTACCTGATTATTATAAATGAAACAATACATGCAATTTTTTCTTTTCTTTTCTTTTCTTTATAATAATTATGTAACTAGATCAAGCTGTAAAGTGTACCCTGGTGTTTATTATTTTAGTCATACGGTATACACGTACACAAGTCTTTCATTTGGGACACATCGTGTGTGCCATTGTGCGTTGGCATTAGGGCTGTATAGATTTGAGAAACCTTAATAATGTCTAAACCTGCAGATCAATGGTAGTCCCAGTAACAGTATTGATTTTCTGTTACCTTGCAAGTTCTTTGACACATTCAGTGGCATTGGAAGCTTAAAGGGAATGGGAGGGGAAGGGGAAATGGATATCAAGTACAAGAACTTGCCCTATTTAAAGTAGATCATTCTAGGTATCTTTCATAGTTTATATCAACTTTTTGTTTGACACATTTTAAGTGGCATTTGATGCTTAAAAGGAATAGGAGGGGAAGGGGAAATGGACATAAAGTACAAGCATTTGCCCATTCTTAAGTAGATCATTCTAGGTATCTTTCATACCAACTGTTTGTTTGACACATTAAGTGACATTTGATGCTTGAAGGGAAGGGGAGGAAAGGGGGGAAAGGGGGGGGGAAGGGGAGGAAAGGGGGAAGGGGAGGGAAGGGGAGGGAAGGGGAGGGAAGGGGAGGGAAGGGGAGGGAAGGGGAGGGAAGGGGAGGGAAAGGGAAGGGGGGAATGGACATCAAGTACAAGCATTTGCCCATTCTTAAGTAGATCATTCTAGGAATCTTTCATACCAACTTTTCGTTTGACACATTAAGTGGCATTTGATGTTTGAAAGGGAAGGGGAGGGGAAGGGGAGGAGAAGGGGGGGAAATGGACATAAAGTAAAAGCGTTTGCATATTTAGGGCAGTCTAGGTACCTTCCATACTGGTCAACATTTTCTATGACATAAATTTATATTTAGGGGCATTGGATGCTCTAAATGGGGGGGGGGGGGGGGGGGATGTCAAGTACAAGAAACTGCCCATTTTTGGACTAGTAAAGATACTTTCCAACCTTATATCATGATGAACATTTGTGCATGAAATGAATGTCTGAATGGTATTCTTTGACATGTACATGTATGTACATGTATGTATTCAGTATTACCTTGGATGCTTAAAATAGGGTTCTAAACTAAATAGTTTTTTTTAAGAGGGTCAGGACCCAGGATTTATATTTTAAGAGTCATGAACATGCATGAGCCCTACATGAATGTAGGCCCTAGCCGCCCTATAATAATTTAAAAATGTGGGAGATCCGGAAAAAGATAGTAGGCCCCCATAACCCCATTACTGTTGAGTCCAGGTACAATGTACTGGGCACCAAGTACATGTACATGTATATGTACCATCATTCGTCCAACAGTATCTACACCACCTAAGTAATGTATTCTACATATTATTTCCTGCTCAAAAAATTATATCGCTATATGTTTAGTATTGTTTACATTCGTGTCATCCAGCTTTGCATACTAATTTCACAGAGGAAGGGGGCAAATATCTGCATGCAGAACTTGCATTTCACAATGACAAATGGATGGAAGTGTAAAAGAAGTACCCGGCATACACATGTACATATAGGCCTTCATGAAAGCAATACTAAATTCTTTCTAATGAAAAAAAAAAAGTTGCAAATAAATAATTACAAAAGACGTTTGTTCTCTTTCATTTGTTAACATGGAATTAATCAGGAATGTAATTTTTAAAGATATGTCACTACATCACATATCCATGTAGTTGGCATCTTGCCATTTAAAAAAAAAAAATAATAATAATTTTCTGACTTCAAAAGTTCTGAACTGAATAAAAATACAAGTACACCAACCATGTACAACATTTACAAAACTGACTTTCGGCATGGAACTGTCATGAATGACAATGGCACGACACTGAATGTGCAGCATGACACTTGAGTCTTAACAGTGGGTTCCATGTCAGGTCGCCCAATGTCAGCCCGCCCCCTTACAAAGTCGTTCTCAATTGGTCATGTTGCCCCCCAATTTTTTTTGTTGGCGATTTTGGGATTCTTGGTCAGCTCGCCCCAACTTTTTTGGTCATTTTGCCCCCTAATTTGTTGTTTTAATTTGATGTCTTTTACGAGCTCAAAGTCACCCTAACCCTTACCCTGACCTTACCCTAACCCTAAGCCTAGGACATCGCGGGTCCCGTGTTACCCTAGAACACTGGGTCCAGCATTACCCCAGGACACCGGGTCCCAATGACAATGACAATTTATTTGCATGTCACCCACATAGGAGTTTTGGAGAAGTTTACAATCTGTTTGAATTTGTCAATTTAACACTGTAAAATATACAAAACAATCTCATTGGGCACAGTGCTGCGCTAGCATACTGCCTTTGTACGTAGGGGGAGACTACGTAAGGAGGCGACCGGCTTAGGGGTGACCTGACCAGACACTGAATGCACCATCTGAACAACATACAAAAATCACAAAAGTCAACAGAGATCAACATAACAATAACAACTGTGTGTGACAGCGCACTGTGTGTGTATGTTTATTGGTTGCGATCGCGCTCAAGTAGTGCATGCAGCTATTTAAAGCAACATGCGTACGCTTGCCCGCATATGCTTACGCTTGCATATTACGCAATGCAGCCGTCATGCTTAATTTAGCCAAACAACATAACTTTGCGTGTACGTCTTTTTCGTTGATTCCGACAGAAATTGGATGAATATTGCAAAGCTTTTGATGAGCTGTATCTTTTGATTACATTTGTTTTTTAATTATCCAACAATAATGGTGAAAAACGATCCCAAAGCCTAGGAAAAATTGAAAAATCGTTCAGACACCCTACTCTAGACCTAGACTAGATCTAGACTAGTCTCACTTACATTCAAAATCGCTCGAGCGGATCGGCCACTAAATCCTTTATTTTATACGCAACCTTCACACAACCCATCAAAATCTACTTAACGAAAGCCATTTATGGAACTTTGGCAAACTCACAGTGCCGACGATCTCCGACCTGAGGGGAAGAAGGATTACAAGAGACTGAAGTGAAGAGAGATTCGCGAATGGGAGCACGTTATTTACCGTTTTTTTGCGCTCAATGTCAAAGTGTAAAGTTCTACGTGCTACAGCAGTACAGTGGTGAAGTACAGATAACCCTGAGTAGACTAGATCTAGTCTATACTGACGCAACCGAAACAGAAACATAAACTTAGCTTCACTCAGCTGATCAGTCTCAGTGGCTGGTGCATATTTCAGACATAATTCACTGTGCAGTCATACCACAGTGAGCAAGATCTCTTTGCCTTTGCTTTGGCACTTCAATTTTCAAATCCAATCATAATCATGTTCAACTTTTGTCAGGCTTGTACATTTTTCTGTTTCATCTTCATGATCAATTTTTTTTAAATTAAGGTAAAGCCACACTTACTAACCAGCGTAGTGAATCCGCAAAATTATCAAAAGGGTTCCAAACATTTCTTTTTAAGATCAACTTACACAACTTCACGTCGTCGATCGTCCGCCATCAGCTGCAAAGCAGAAAATCGGTGAAGTAAGGCTAGTCTACTATTCAAGTCTTTTTACGTTATTTTTCATTTTGCGTGTGTCCCTGAGATGGACTCATAATTAAAGTCCTCATAATAGTGTTTTCTTGGAAGCTCCGTGCGTTTTCAGGAGGTGAGAGGGGCTCCCACTTTCTTTGGTTGAAGGGTGGAGGTACATACAGAGGCGGCGCTCCCGGGGACAGGGGGGGGGCATAGTCCCCCACTTTTTCAGGGACCCCTAAAAGCCCCTGCCCCTTTTCCTACAGTTCCCTGTTTTCCTTTCTCATAAGTGCCCTTTTTAAGCTTGATACGAGAAGTGCCCGTTTTTATTCTTGGTATGTGTCCCTTTCATGTACCTCTGATAATTGCCCTATTCAAATCTGAGAGGTGCCTCTTTTACTTTGACAAGTACCCCTTTCGTATGTCTACTAAAGTGCCCCTTCCCCTTTCAATAACTACCCCTTTTACTCAGATAAGCGCACCTTTCATTTTCACATGATTGTGTCCCTTTACCTTTCTAATAAGTAATAAGTGCCCCTATTTCTTATGAAATTAAAAAAAGGCTCTTTAATTCCCCTTCTCATAAATGCTCCTTTTCACAAATGAAAGGTGTCCCTTTTCATCTCTGGTAAACTTTTCAGGTACGAGAAGTTACTCCTTTTCAAGTTCACATAAGTGCCCCCTTCATCTCCGATAATTTCCCCTATTCACATCTAATAACTGCCCCATTTATTCTAACATGTGCCACTTTTTCTTTTTAATATGAGCTAGGTAATATGAGCCAAGACTTCCCCCCTCAGTCTCATAAAAGCCCCCTTTCATCTATAAAAATGCTCCTATTAAAGTCTGTTCGGTGCCCCTTTTCTTTCAACAAATGCGAATTTTCCTTTATTATAGGTGCCCCTTTTTCATTCTCAAAAGTGCCCCTTTTAATGGTCAGTGCCCCCTTTTAAGGTGCACTAAGTGCCCCGGCCTTTTCACTTCTAAAAATTGTCCCTTTTTAACAGTGATACGTGCCCCTTTCATGTATTTTACACGATACCAGTACCCCTGATCAAAGAGGAAAGCATTAATTCAAACGTATAGTTTAAGCATGATAAAATAGCAACCACAAATAAGAAGCAAACGTTATTTGTCTCATTTAGAAAATAAAGGCTTCATCCCGGGGCTTCATCTTCAGAAGTTCATACCATCACTTCCTTCAGTACTCCATTAAGTGAAACTCCTGGAATAGAGACTAGTTAAATTATATGCCAAATGCATTTGTACCAGTCCCACGTATTGAATACCGTCGAGGGATAGATAAGAAAAGTGAACAATTAAAGATATAGGTAGATATAAACAGTACGTTTTCTATTTTACTTTGATTATGTGCAGTATTATAATCAGGATGATAATAGGAATCAGTTGAGTAGTCTGACACTTGACAGTGAGTGCCTGAGGCTAAATTAGCTGAGCGCTGATGAGCTGAGTCGGTGAATTGAGTGGTGATCGTGTGACTGTGTCTGTGGCACTGCATGGGCTAGGCGCTAGCTGGCAAAGCTGGCACTGCTGGCACTGCTGGCAGTACAGTGTGAGTGAGTAGATCCTACAGTAGACCTATGTGATAGTGAGTGAGTTCTAATTTTAATTCCACTACTTCTACCTACTCTACTTCTTATTAAACTGCATGCTTCTACTAATTCTACTCTACTTCTACTACTTGATTACTTCTGCTTTTGCTTAAGTTAATTAGTTTCTTTTTGTACCACTCTGAGACCGAGTCTCCGTCTATCTAGGCTTAAGCCGTTAAGGGCTCTCTCGAAATGTCTAGATCTATAACAGGTTTCATGTTTCATACAAATAATTAATACTGTAGTGTAGGGTGTCTTTTTCACCATTTTTGTTGGATATTTAAATAAAAATGTAATCAGAATAATACATTTCAAATTTCATGACTCACCCATGTTTCTATCAAAAGATTCAAACCCTCAAAAACTCTACAATATTCATAGCATTTTGGTCAAAGTGGACAAAAAAGTGGTTCACACCGAGTTTGCTCAAAAGTTGTACAGCACGATATGCAAAACGTGGAGTAGACCTAAGGGTATTTTCAAACTGAAACTGCTGATCCTTTGGGACTAGAGAAAAAATAAGCGCATGTATATATTCCTTAGAGCTGGCCCAACTTATCCCTCGGGCGCTCACTTCATGAAATTGGTAAATCTCCGAGTTACCATGGAAACAATGTTTAAATCACTGTTTTGAGCAAGATATTTTTAGAATATTGGGCCGGGGTGGGCCCATTTGGGGAATATGGAGAAAAACCTGCTCTTTCATATGACACCTCACTTATTGAGTATCAGAGCTTCCAAGTATCACACATTAGGTGTGACATCTCGCATTTCGAGGGTCTGAAAATGCTCTTACGCACGACGCGCGCGCTAGATTTCGAAAAAACGCTATACCTTATACGTGTGTTATACCCTCCCAAGCGCGCTTGCGCACCGAATCATGCAAATGTCACGCATTGCCGATCTTTGAACTTGGCGTCTCTTGAGTATCACCTTCAGGATCACGAGCATTATTAGTTAGAATCTCATTTTGGTTATAAAATCATTGACCAATTTTGCATGAGCGCGCATTGCACACGGACTATATGTGTGCAATCTCTACTGGAAGGATTTTAGCACACAAAACTGAGTGCGCGATCAGACACCCTATTAATAGTTTTTCTTTCAAGAGAAGCAATTGGTCTCACTTTGAAATATTTCACCAGTCATACAGACTCAAGGAATATCCTCAACTCCTGCTATTGCTAGTAAATGCTGCCCTTACAAACCCATGCAAGGCTATGCAGTATTATTTAATTACCACAAACTAATACATCTCGAAATAACTTGAAACAGTAAAAAAAAAAACTCTAATAACTTTGACATTTGCTGATTGATTCTTTTATCATTTCAATTTTCAATGCAAAATTCAAATGTTTACATGTATAATCTATTTCAATCTTATTTCAATCCTATTTCTAAAGGCCTCTCGAGTTGAGCTGAGGAGACAAAATGTAGCATGGGCGTCAGGCGCCTGATCTGCTGCAGGAGACGGAGACGGTCAAGCTACCTTTGCGTGCTCGTCTTCTTCGCTATCATCTACTTCATCTTCCAGGGGACCTCTTTGAGGGCACTCAACAAGAACAATGCGGAGAAAGCGGCCGAGGAGAAATCTAAGATGGGTAAGAAACTACTTGGGAGGTGACCCAACGAATTGGGCCTGTGTAGGAAAGTGACCTGGGGGGGGGTGTTTCACAAAGACCCCAAATTGAACTTAACTCTAAGTTGGACTTAACAATTATTGAAAGCTGTTAGCATTTTTGAAAATATTTTGTAAAAGATGTTTACGAGGCATAAAATATTGATTCAAATCAATCATATTTTCTATTATCCAGGAGATTTCATGTTCTTGATGTGGAATTTATGAAAAAACTGAAATACTTGAATTTTTGCTTTTGAATAAATTTTATTTTAAGGCTACAAATGGCTCTCCATAATATCTAAGTCCGACTCAGAGTTAAGTTCGACTTAGGATCTTTGTGAAACACTACCCTGGATCAATTATCACTGGTGCATTTTTCTTAGCACCATCCCTTGTAGCTGTATCGATGATGACAGTCACATAATTGATATCATCTAATTTTCATATGATAAAAATACTATAATTTCTAATATTTTCTTTAGTGAATTCCAAGCAGCTCATTTCATATGGGAAGAAGATTTTAAACTGAAATGTTATATGATATATGTAGGACATACTGGCTTATAATTACCATCAGGCTCATTCAGACATTGTGTGTAAGGCAAGATGAAATGAAAAAACCCAGCTGCAGTGCACACAACAATGGTTTCTATGCATACTCTCTTACCTGTGTGGTATATTCTCATCCTTCATTACTCAGTTAATGACTCACAGATTACATCAATAACAATCTTTATGGAAAAGCTTGCCAGACCGACCAAGCCAGCTTTTATTCGAATTGTATCTTTTTGAACAATCATGAACAATCTTTGTTATTATATCATTTTGAACATCAAAATAATTTCAATTATTTCAGCTCATTCTTGATTTTGAAAATATCAAGTGTAAATATTGTTAACATTGCATAATTTCAATCTCAATCGTCAACGTTCACACCTAAATATATACTGACATTGTATAGAATAAAAAATTAATTTTGATCCCTAACCTGCATGGGGCTTTGCCTTTTTTCCCCACGCCCGGACCGATTCCCTAGGTTGAAAAAACCAGAGATAAACTAAATAAGGCAAATGCTCTGGAAAAACCTAATGGCAAATCGTCCCAATAAAAATAATCTATTTGAATCTCTAAACCTCCTACAAAAACAAACACCAAACTATTGTTCTGTATTAAAATTTCCACTTGAAATTTGTGTCGTGTATCTAGTGTCTGACAAAACTAGAATGGCTACCCCGCCCATTTCCCTCTCTTATTATGCCTTTCTGAACATTCCTTTCCTTCTCAATACAATAACTTACAGCTGCCTAAGTTATTCAAACCATCCCGCTTCGCGGGATCGTGGCGTCTCGCCACTCCCATTACGTAATCATTAAACGGATCCGCATATACAACATTTTCCTGCTATACGTTGTACCACAGGAAAATACAAGTATATTCTCATCCTTCATTACTCAGTTAATGACTCACAGATTACATCAATAACAATCTTTATGGAAAAGCCTGCCAGACCGACCTAGAAATTTGTGTCGTGTATCTAGTGTCTGACAAAACTAGAATGGCTACCCCGCCCATTTCCCTCTCTTATTATGCCTTTCTGAACATTCCTTTCCTTCTCAATACAATAACTCACAGCTGCCTAAGTTATTCAAACCATCCCGCTTCGCGGGATCGTGGCGTCTCGCCACTCCTATTACGTAATCATTAAACGGATCCGCATATACAACATTTTCCTGCTATACGTTATACCGCAGAAAAATACAATTATAAGATAGAAAATGTCAAGTGCAGATCCCCTAAGCAGGCTTTTAAAACCTTGCATATTTATTAAAGATCTGCTAAGAAAATGAGCATATTAAACCTTTGTACTTCAAAGGTTTTATAAATGGGAGGTATGTGGTCATTTGGTGTCCCATCAAATACAATTACCAAATATTGCTGACTTATAAAAATAAAATTAATAAAATTAATATAAAATGTATCATTTTGCTTCATATTTGGTAGTTGCATGATCCAAGATTGGGGTGACATTTCTTCCATTGCTTGTTACCATATGTTAAATCCATTCATTTCAGTGGGAGATAGCATTGAAGTCAAGCACGAGAAGTCACCCACAATCCTCGGGGTGAGGTCAGATGACCTGCTACACTACGTACCAGACGAGGATGGACTGTTCCATTGCATCGATGAGTCAAGTAAGGTGCCCATGATGGCGGTCAATGACGAGTACTGTGATTGCCCGTCAGATGGATCGGACGAACCAGGAACAGATGCTTGCCCAAATGCAAGGTAGTGATCGATAGCTCATTAATTAAAGGGATTGGGTAAGGTTGTCTCAGATTCTGAAACGAAATCCTGGATTTAGCTCATGCTGCAATGATAATTATACACCTTTAGGTCAGTCAGGAACCCCATGACCTTTACAAGCCAATCGCCTGTCTGATTATCAAGATATTTATGATTGGAAATCAAAATCAAATCAAATGGTTTTCATAACACTACAGTCTATTGGGGAAAACAAGTACGGTAAAACCAGTCAATCAAAGATTTTTTTTTTTTTGAGGCACTTCATGATCATTTTGAAGCGCAATTTTTTAGGGCTTCAATATTACACCATATCACAGACACTGATAACATGTAGGGCCCTGCATCTCAGATTTAACATTGTTAAACGATGCCTTGAAGGATATTAATCAATCCATTGATGTTCTAGTGTGAATAGTTTTTTCCTCTTTTGGGGGGTAGGGGGATGGGAGGGTCATTAATTATGATGTTCGGTTGTTTAAAAATCATATCCAACAAAAGTGAAATGTCAAGCAGTTAAAAAATCATAATAACTAGGCCTACCCCTTCCAGCACACTTACCAAGAATCCCAGTTTTTCATATCATACATAACATTGAAGATTATATAGATAGCAGAATGGAAATTTGCCTTTTAAGGAGAATAACTGATATATTCTGCTGCAAATATTTGAATCTTCATGCACAGTGCAATATGAACCTTTAACATAATTATGAAGATATCTGTTTTGCACCATATTTAGAACAAAGGTGAAAAGCTTCACTTCCTAATTTGATGTAAAATTTCCTGTCACCTAATGCAATCATGTCATAGATAATAGTATTCATCATTGCCTCAGAAGTCATAATAATTGTACACCTGCCTATCAAATCACATTAATGTCAAATTATGAAATGAGATCGCCATTGATATGCTGTATTATGAGCAGCTGTTCAGCTGTAAGGCATTTGATGTCAGTAGAAGAGAGAGTTTGCTTTATTCCGCTTCTGGAAAAATGAGGATTACAGAGAGGAAAGGGCAGTCACTGCACTTGAAGTTGACATAATCTCTTCATTTTGGGGGTGGGGGGGGGGGGGGAGTGGGAGGCACTTTAACCCATTTCATGCCCCGTGACTGTCTTTTAACAATCTGTTGAGACCGAGAATGGCCATGAACAGGTATTTTCATTGTGAATATAATTCATTGAACTTGATGGCACATAAAGGGTTTATTCTTCCTTTGTTGTGGGGCCTTACACATGAAAATGTATACAGGTGTACCTGTCATACATGTTTAGTCAGCCTTCTCATAAAATACAATGATATGTTTAGCTTACTAATCATTAACAGTGGTAAATACATTCATCTCTTTCTATTGACTCATACTAAGAAATTATGTCAATAGAAAGTAGTCTAATATTAATCAAGTACGGTGTGATATTAATCCAAAAGACAGTTTTTGGCAAGCAGAACCCTTTTTAAGAAAAAGTGTGTTTTGCTCTTCTCTTTATGATCACTCTCTATTAGTGTATTTATTATAACTACAAATGAAAAAAAGAAAAATGTTTATTGTTTTTTCCTCAGGTTTTATTGTGAGCACAGCAACAAATTCTTGCCGTCTGGCAAGGTGAATGATGGGATATGTGACTGCTGTGACGGAAGTGATGAGTGGAAGATTGGCTTGGGGTCAGTGAAGGTCAAAGGTCAGTGTACCAAAACGTCTCACCAATCACAAAAAAATTGCTGATAATGGTGATGCTGTCATATTATCATGCACTTTTTGCCACTGATCAGCACATAAAAAAGGAGAAGGATAAGGAAAGGTGCTGTTTTTGTAGTAGGACTTGTCATAGGTTTTGGGGGAATTCCACCAGAGATATCATGATAACAAAAACTATTCATGTAGTTATATGTTGTAAGTTCCACATTATATTATTATATTACATTATATTATTACATTATATTATACATGTATATTGCCATTTGAGAATTTCAAGAAACATTTTATTTATTGAATTTTCAATGACTTTTGAGAAAGGGTTGTTCAAATTTGAAGAAGTTGTGGATTAATATTCCTCCTAATAAAACTTAATTTTTTTTGACTGATCAACTGACACTGTCTTTTACTTATGGATGCACTGAGCTGTACCAAAATGTCTCTCTTTCAGCAGCAAATGAAGTGATTGCATGAATTACAGTTTAACCAAAAATCTCTTCATTTAACATTGTTGATCTCTGTTGATATTTGTAATTACCGGTAATCTACTCAACGTGTATTTTGGTTTCCTAGGCTTTCCTCTAAGCGACGCCATTCAACATGCACCGTGTGTGGACACGTGTAGCAAACGAGCAGACAGGGAGAAAGAGGATCAGAGAATACGCCAGATTGGATTAAGATTAAAACAACAGTACATAGCGAGGGCACAGGGTCATATAAAAAATACGGTCAGTATAACTATGCCTTTTGTTTTCTTAATACTTTTTCCACTGTCCTATATCTATGTTAATATTTATGAACACATGTGTGTTGCAGTGGGCAAAATAAATAAGGTACTTATGCTCGCAAACTTTCCTCTACAAAAAAAAAAAAATTGTTTGTGTATAAGGATGCCTACAAAATGCAATTGCTAGTATAGGCTTTTGTGAGTTTAATGTATTTATCTCTATGTCTACTGTTCTGTGCTTCTGCTTGCTAAATGTATGCACACTTAACACAGATTTCCTGCCAGTTTTACTGCTACTTTTACATGTACTACTTCTATATCTACTTCTACGTCTACTGCTAGTTCCAAATCTACTGCTACTTCTAGGTCTACTGCTACCTCTAGAACTCTCTCGTTTACCACTACTTCTACATCTACTGCTCCTTTTACATCTACTATTACCGCTATATCTACTGCTACTTCTACATTTTATTCTTACTTTTACTTCTACTCCTTCTATATTTACTCCTACTTCTAAATCTACTTTTCCTTCTACATCTTTTGCTGCCTTTACAGCCTGCTCATTTACTACTACTCATACATCTATTTCTACTTCTACTTCTTCTTCTACTGCTACTGCTACTTCTACTTCTTCATCTTCTTTTACTGCTACTTCTAATGCTGCTTCTATATTTACTGCTATTCCTACATCTACTGCTACATCTGTCTAAACCTCTTCTGTACATCTATATACTGTTTTTATTTCACCGACCTGTTAACTATGTTGTGGGCAAAAGCTCTGAATAAAGACATATTATCAAATTTTACAATTGCTCTAAGAGTGAAACCATGTTAGACTTCATTTTGTCCTTTGTTCAGAGTTTTAAAACCCAGATGAAATTTTCACCTTTAAAATGGCCTTCCTATCCCAATTTTTACTATGGATAATGTGGATATCTCCAATCTTTAGGTGATTTGAAGAAAAGAATTATTTTTTTTAAATCAGAAAAAAAAATGGCAGCTAACTTCAGTTTGCCATTACATGCCTGAGAAAGGTGTCTGAAACATGAATGTCAAAATTGGCACAGGTAAGTAAGTTTGGAGGAGTCATAGAACTATTTCTCAACTACCCCAAACTATACCTGGGTGGAAATTAGAAAATATGAAATATTTGCAGAATGGTTCATTATATTAATATTTATATTTTTTGTATGCAGGATGGCTTATTCGGCAAGCAAGGTGAATTCTACCAGCTCAGTACGGAGTGCTTCGATCATGCGGACTATGCCTCATCGTACCACATCTGTCCCTTTCACAAGGTGGAGCAGACTCAAAAGAGTCACATGTTCAAGCTCGGTAGCAGAGGACAGTGGGATACCGGTCGGACGGACGGCAAGCAGGTCTTGGTCATGATGGGCGGGGACAAGAGGGGGTGTCCGAATGAAGGTCGGAGGACCGAGGTGAGAAATTGCTTCATGTCTGTAATAATGATTATACTAATGATAGGAAACAATAGTAATGATGATGATGATGATTTGATGTTAATAATAGTGGTGGTGATGTTGATGATGATGATGAGGAGGATGTTGATGATGATGATGATGATGAGGAGGAGGAGGAGGAGGAGGAGGAGGATGTTGATGATGATGATGTTGCTGATGATGATGTTGATGATGATGATGATGATGATGTTTAAGATGATGATGATGATGACGATAATGATGATGATGTTGCTGATGATGATGATGATGATGATGATGATGATGTTGTTGATGATGATGATGATGATGATGATGATGTTGATGATGTTGATGATGATGATGTTGATGATGATGTTGATGATGATGATGATGATGATGATGATGTTGATGATGATGTTGATGATGATGATGATGATGACCCATGGAAGCCTCAGTGTTGTTTTTTCCCGAGGGCCCAATTATTGTTACCACAGCAATCGCCAGGTACCCACTTACGCTTGGATGGAGAGCGGCAGATGTGGATTAATGTCTTGTGTTAGTAACTGGGTTGCATTAGAACCATCAACTTGTGGATTGAGAGTCAGGTGAATGAACCACTTTATCACAGCACCTCCTCATGGTTTTACAGAGTGTCTTTGTGTCTGTGAGTTTTGATCAAACAGACAATTACCAACCAGGGCCCCGTCTTACAAAGAGTTACGATTGATTCAAATCAATCACAAGTTCTCCAATCAATCGCAAGTTTGCAGTCTCCCATCTTTTCTGCACATAGTTGCGATTGATATCAACTCTTTGTAAGACAGGGCCCAGGCCAGGTCTAACCAAAGAATTAGGTTGAGTTCACATAAACATTTATCTGTTAGATAGATATGATACCGTGAACAGTCAATATCACCATCCACATTGAATTCCATGTCTTTTTGAAGTTCCTGGTACCTCTCTAGATAATGCAATGGTTTCCTTTTTCCCATGGACTCAAGATGAGTTAATACAAACATGTATTAATTACATATGATACCCTAAAGTGACAAATTAATATCACCATCAAATGTTAATTTCATGTCTTTTTGAAGTTCCTGGTACCTTTCTGGATAATGAGATGGTTTCCTTTTCAATATTATTCTCACACCATGCACTTTCTAGCAGAAGATATAATCGGTTTATGGTGTTAATGAAACTATCCATTTTATTAAGGTGTGCTGTTGTAATTGTTCTGCTTTAAACTGTTGCCAATATTTGCTTGTAAAAATATATAGATAATTTCTGCATAAATAATGAAAATTATAAAATGACAAAAGATAGAATTGGGAGATCATCATTCCATTTTGTTTTCTCAAATAATGGGAGGGCTCAGTGGTAGAGCAGTGGCCTTGTAACCGGGAGGTCCAGGGTTCGAAACAAAGTCAATGCGCTCGTGCCCTTAATTTGGTAAGGCACTAATACTCATTACCAACTCCCTCAGGGGGACTAAAAGCCATCGGTCCCCTGGTTGCTCAATTACAAGCATATACATGCTTTCTTTAATAGCAGTCAGGTAAAACAAACAAATAAACATTATCTGTTTTATCTTTTTCTTGTCATTGCAGATTGAATTCACATGTGGCCTCAGCAACTCCATTGCCAAACTTTACGAGGAGGAAAAGTGTGTTTACACTGTGCACTTCTTGACCCCTGCTGCTTGCTGATGAATATTCATAGAAATGATGAATATTAATAGAAAAGTGTGATTGATAATGATAATTATAAAATATTAATAATATTTTTGCTTGATACGTCGGGAATGTCTGAGTTTCTAAGCGCTTTACATTATTACCCCGGTCATCGGATTCTGGCTTGCCCGCACACAATGTTTACACTTTGTCCACTCCCTGGGGAGCATTCTGACAAGAGCTACTAGGCTCAAACTGCTAAGCATACCACATTGGCTTTCGCAGAGAGGGGAGGGGGGCTTGGGAGACTTTGCATTCATTTTCTTGAGCTTCCCCTCCCCCTCCCCAAGCTCCCCTAGAACTGCTGTGGCTAATACTACTACTTCTACTACCACTACCACCACTACTAATAATAGGGACTTTTAGATTTGCACTTAGACATAGTGGACTGCTACGTGTGACATCCTTTTAAGGCACTCTGACGTCCTTTTAAGGCACTTCCAGTGCCTTAAAAAGAATGACACAAGTAGCAGTCCACTGTCTACGTCGACGTGCAAATCTAAAAGTCCCTAATACTACTGCTACTAAGACTATGATGTCATGTTTAGCCAGGTCCCAGGGGCCCAATATTACCATCACATGATTTTAATTATGTACTATGTGAATACCATGTGCCTTAATGTTTGAGGGAGGAAGGTGTCGATAGATGCATTAACCCTGTTTTTTTACTGCCAACTAAAAAATTCCTTTGTTAGTTGAGTAACTTGTGATATATTTGCTAAAGTTTGAAAGGACCTTATATTGTAATTATAAACAATTTTAATGTAATTTGTATATATTGATAAAGGTCCTTCAGAGATATCTCATTCAACGAATGAATTTAAGGAAAACATGTTGCATTTCATCATTCTGAATCTAAATGTTGGTTCCTAATCCATAAGTATTATGTACAAATGAATTGAATACAATGATATACATTTAAACATGTGAAATTAAGTTGCATAAAGAAATTCTATGTACTTGAGGAGGCAATTTTAGAAGCATTCCTTCCTTCTACTTTCCCGAATTGAGCAATGCTCTAGATTAACTCATATTATAACATCATGAAAAGAAAAGTGCCTTAATCTTGTGAATTGTTATTTTGTAATCCTAAAACCATTGATGATCAAAGCATTCAGTCGGTTTCATTCAACTGATTTTCTTTTACAAAAAAAGACTAAGAACAATATATCATTATTAAGTCTATTTCAATGGAAAGCAATGTCTTTGCTTTCATCATGTACATGTAGGCTAAACTGAACAACAACTAATGATAACAAAATTATTTCACAGATCATATATTGCTTTGTACTTGGTTTAATTACAAAGGATTTAACTTCAGATTTCTTATTGACAGGGTTAACATTGATTATAAACACGTTTAGATTTTCATGTTTAACTATTTAAAACTAGTTATGCCAATTCCAATGCCAGTAAAACAAATGAGGATTAATTAAAATGGAATTAACTTCAGATTTCTTATGGACAGGGTTAACATTGATTATAAACACGTTTAGATTTTCATGTTTTACTATTTATATCTATTTATGCCAATCCTAATGCCATATGAAACGAGTCAAAATTTGGAATCATTAATAATCACTATAAAGAGACTTTTGTCCATCTTTTGTTCTCAACATCAGACGCAAAGTACCAATCTTCAAAATTCTTGCTGAAATGAGGTAAATTTCTTTACAGGGAGTAGCCTCTCTGATGCTAAAAAATGTCTTCAGAAAAATAAATGTGCCTTTTTGTTTGTGATGTGAAAGAATTCCAGCTTAAAATTATAGCAGTGCCCATAAAATAAGGTACAAAGTACAAGTGAATTGCCAGATTTTATTGCAATAGAAAGAGTGTCCCGTTTATATGTAAAAAATCTTTACAAGTAATTGAAGAAAACTGTGGGCTAAAACACGTCCTTATTATTTACAAAATTCTTCATGAAATGTATCTCAGTTTTGGTGAGGTGACGTTACGGTAATTGCATTCAAATTTTTCCAGTATTAGTGAATAAACCTTGCCAATGCTGCCAAGTACAATGTACAGTTTTCATCAAATGAAGAATGTTGTAATAGTTTTGTACCAAGATTCTTACTTTGTGAGCAAAAATTCCGTAACGGTATTTTATTTCATATTATTATTTGGGAAGCATTTTATTGGATATAAGGTTTTTTTTCTTCAATAATTCTGTTTGTATAATTGAGACTAGAAGAACAGGTTGTACAATTTCTTTGCACAATAAATGATTTATTTTATAATTCACTGAAAGCTAATGATCATACAGTTAACAACTAAATTATTCATACCCCTTGTGAATTTGATTTTTCGAGGGATGTTTTTTTCTAACTCAAGAATAAAAGGTGTACTGGTTGACTGGTTGAAAAGGTGTTAGCTTTAATATGTCATATTATCAAGAAACATAAATCGGGACATATCAATTTTTCACATACTTAAAATGAAAACCGAATCTTTGTAAGGGTAGGAATAATTTATTTGTTAACTGTATATAAGTCAATATGTATATGTAGTACAGGTACTGCTCTAGTCTTTTGATTACACTTGAAGAACAGTAACCATTTTTATATGATTAATGAAAAATTATCTTACATAAAATGCTTATTTGTTTCTTGAAACAAGGTTTATGTATATATAACATTTATGAGGTGCTGTATAAAAGAAGAGAAAAAAATAAAGTTAGGATCAAATTCTTATTTATGTAATTAAAACTTTCTGTGCATTTTTTTAAAATGGTAAAATGTTGTACACTTGGCTTGGACGAGTACTACTAATTTTGCAAATTGACATTTGCACAGGTGCAGACTATATTTTGTCATATGGAGGGCATACAGGCTTGTACCGAATTCACAAATGAGGTTTAAATTTAGCCCATGGTTTAAACCTTCATTTACATAACCCATGGTTTAAAATTAGCGCAAATTAAGCGTACCTTGCCTTGCAGGCCTTTAAATATTGGACCTCTTACCGTGTTGCGCTGATTTTGCACTAATTTTAGACCGTGGGTTATGCAAAAGAAGATTTAATCCATGGGTTAAATTTAAACCTCCTTTGTGAATTTGGGCTATTATGTATGGGTATAATTGGCTATAGTGCCTATGTCCATGCAGCGCCCTTGTATGTGCATATATGTGTATATATATGCATCACTGTGCGACTAATCAAACACAACGTGAAATGAACACATTTTTGTCTCAGTTTAATTTAGTGACACAGATTCATGCGAAAAAATTAAAGTAATCAACAAAAATTGGTTGAGAAAACATGAAGTCATGGAAAGTGCACATTTTATTTTATTTTCTTAACATTCCTTAATCGTTAACTCATTATAATATAAAGCCAGGTAAAGTTTTTGGTGTTGTTTATATTAAGTTAAAAACTAAAATATACATAAACCTTGTAACTTGATGTTGTTTTTTTTTCTCTTCACAACTCAAGAATGAAAGGTGAACTGGTTGAATGAGGACCTTGATAAATTTAAATGTAATTTTTAATACAGTATGTATGGTGGTGTGACCATAGTTCGCCATCTCAAAAAGTCAGTAAGATTCCCAAAAGCTGATACCACCAATGGAAAGAGGATCCTAAAATTACCCCGAAATGAAATTTTCTCTGGAATTGGGTGTGAAATTATGACATTATTGACATATCACAAACCGAGCACGCTTCCGCCAATCCTTCGTACCAAACTCTATCCACATGTTCAACCAATTTGTTAAGAGATAATAATAATAATAATAATAATGATAATATTAATAATAACAATAGCAATAATGATCATAATTATTTGAATTTATAAACTGTTCTTAAAAAGCTATTCCTAAGATATTTCTAATCATCTAATCAAGTTTAACAATTTTGGATGGAGTAAACAATTTTGTATTATTTATGTGAAATGACGAGATCTTTTCTGTTCTGAAATTGTTTGCTTAGTTGTTTTGCATGTTTCATATTATTGTACTCTGTTTCTCGTATTATTGTAATGCTGGTGGGAAGCATATTTCCACATTGTGGACAAATAAATCAAATCAAATCAATCAAATCAAAATCAAAAGATTGGCAAATTTTGCAAGGTGATAGGTCCTCTTTAAATGTGTGGTGCTTTTTGAAAGCCACTAGATCAGTGTTGAAATATTTATCACCTGGAAGTCAGCATTGATCTTCGTTCTATTTGGAATACATTAATGTTTCAATAGTCTGTACATGTAAATCTAAGAAGTATTCAACATAAATGCCAATTTTTCAGGCTTTCATCTTCATGCTTTATATTGTGCAGTGTACTAATTGAGTAACTTCAATTTGTAACCATTTCTCCTGGTAAACATCTATGTGACAAATATTATTTTTTGTAACAGTGTGATCATATTGAAACAAATCCATGATTCCGTGTTCTTGTTATTTTGGATTGTGAAATGCAGCTTAATGTTTCACTTTTCAAATCCTAGAAAACCTCTATGGATACTAAAATTGTAAAAATCAATACCAACGTTATATATTGTAAATGATCCACCTGAATATTTTTTTGGCTTTGATTGTATATTTTGGATTGTGAGAAATATGTATCAAAATATCTGAAATAAATTTATAAATTTGAAAAAAGAATAAAATTGTTTACTACTTTATTTAAAATTTAGGATATCTTGATAATTGTGCTATTTATTTTCATACTATATTTGGTATTTTCTATTGTCCTCCTTGTACATTTACATCTTTAGTTTTTTCCTGTAGATCTTACGAGAAAATGTCAGAGCATAAGTTGCTGTATGTAATCAAGCACCCTTTCTGTACAAGTACATGAACAACGATTTTTCTCATACTATAATAGGAAGCTTAGAATTGCAAGTGCCAATTTTAAGGAATGAAAGAGCTGTTGAATGCCTAAAAGTAATCATTTTCAATTGCAAAAGCACGTCAAATTCCTAAAGATAGCTGTGGAAAATGATGTAGAGGTACGTACAAGCAAATGATGTGTGTGGATATTTGTATTCATTTATCTTTCATCAATTTTTGTAACAAACAAAACAAATGTACACAGGCAAAGTTTGCTTCAAGCAGATACTTCTTTTTCAATTAAAAATTTAATTGTACCATTCCGTGGCAAAGCATTATTACGAGTTAAATTAGTTTAATACTTTTCTCAATACAAAAATCAGCATAATAACATGAATACAAAGTGATTAATAATTATCCCTGTATAATAACGACATTGCTCTTAATGAAAAGAATACTGTTAGTCACATTGCAATAGAATACTTATAAGCATACTCACATGTAAAAAAAACACAAAAGAAACAAATTATCTCTAGGCTATGCATAAATTACAGTAGAAAAAAATAAAGTTACAAAGTTAGTGTAAAAATATATAAACAGATACAAAACAAAAATATTACAATTATTCCTGTAATAAACATACATCATTCATATGACTACTCTCCAAGATCACATTAAACGCTGCTTCTCTTCTACATGAACAATGCAACTTAATATACCTATTACTATGAAGACACATTGGGCTTTGGCATATAAATAAAGTAAAATAAATAGTTTTTAAAAAAGTTGGTGTTACGTAGTACATGTTCGTCACACATTTTTGTTCTTAAATGCTTAAATATAGTAATGCCCAAATTGTGAAATCGTAAAGGAAAGGAATTCACATACAAGGTTGACATCTCTTCGCAGACAGCCTGATAAAAAATTTCAGACGTTTGAAATACCGTGACAGCAATCTATCTAGTTTTCAGCTCCTAAATACTGTTTCTCATGTATAAATATGTCATTAACTTTTGTGATTCCAAGCTCTTTCTCCCTTTGGGCACCACTCAACAAATATTATGGGTAGCAAACCTATAGTACCGGTAATTACAATTTTTTTAAAATTCACAACTTTGTTATCTTATATCCGATTTTGTTAAAACTTTCACCAGTGTGCTTCTCTGGTTTTTCTGCTTTCTATTAGTACAAGCCAAACATGAGGGTTGACCGTGACTACATGTACGTCACAGTCCACTGACCAAATTTCCATGGAATTAGGGATCTCAGATTTCAAACATTCATGACTTTCTTATTGGTCTGATTTACATCAAACTTTTGCCATACCGTTATTTTTCTGCTTTTATACAAATTAAATTATCACAAAGGTTGACTGTCCCTTTAAAATTCAGCCCACAATGCAAATAAATACTGGTAACTTGTAAAAAAAGCACCAATTAATGAGCTCTCTGGGTAAATATGGTACAAACAGTTGGATTTTCACGGACTAGTACTTTCTAATGAATCGGTACATGCCAATATACCTAATCGTGCCCAGCACGAACTCATTCTATTGCTACTCTAATACATTTGAATAGTTTCAAGGTACATGTATATAGGCCCACTTATGTACAGTACTATTATTAATACAATTAATTGAACATGATTGTTTAACTAGTATTTTCAGAATTGCTTACTCTGTATTTTAAATGAATATTCACTTAAATAGTACACTTCCCAGCTTAATAATTCAATTTAAACTATTAATTTGTTACATACTTTCATTCAGGCTCTCTAAATACTTCAATGAAAGACTCAAAATAAACTTATAAACACACAAACATAAATTATCAAATGATTAAAGGCAGTCGAACAAAGTTCCATTAAGTATAAAAATGAAAAAATTACAACTGGATAACAAACTGCACACAGTTGAAGCATAGATATTGCTTTCGATTGACAGTTATTGCCTCGTGAAGAATATTCTATTAGCTTATTAATTTGGCATGTCCAATTATGGGGTTCAAGATTTCACTTATTTACTTGGTTAGACATCAAAGATTCACATTTCTTTGTCTTTCCAGCAACTTTCTTGACATAAATATTTATTTAGAAGAAAGTAATCCTGAATGATATGAATAGTAGGTTCACTGAATTTATAGCAGAAAACCAGAAATGTTTATATTTTATGATATTTGTATACATGATATATCGTTTTCTTTGTCAACTCAATTTGAAAGTCTTTCTTCTATTAGACATTTTTAATCCATGTCAATGCAGTCCTAGGACTGCGATTATGTATTTTTTATAAAATATTTCAAGTAAGTAAGAATACTTTAATACAAAGGACTTTACTAGGATTCTTTGTTGTGCACATCTACTTATATTCACCACAATCTGCCACTCATTTTCACATAAGACATATTATCTTGCCAGAGTGGTTTTCAAATGACTTGATAATTGCAGTAAAAGGATAGACCTATATTCTACACAAATATCCAGCACAATGGTTTCTCAACTCTCCCACTTAATATGTTAAGTTAAGTATAATTGAAGGCAATCTGTGAAAGTGCTCATAATCCAAATTCACTGACTTTATGACTTTTGTATTCATAATAATCTTCATGGAAAGGTCCTAACTTTCATAATCAAATTACTCCTTCAGATAAAAAATATTCATGATATATTGTAGGAAATAGAAAATGCAAATCCAAAATCCATGACAAGTACTATTTTTGAATAAGGTTTGATTTTTTTAAATGTAATAAACTGCCTTTATTACATGCAGAGCATAACTTGGTAAAAATTGAACAGATGTGTTAGATTTGACTATCATGTTGAAAAAATTTACAAAATGGAACACATCTTGATAGAATCTGCACACATACAGTGCATATAATTCAATACCATATCGACTTTACAGTTTTACTCAGACATTTTTGTTTAAATACACCCGTCTTTGAAATATTACCAAGTATATTACCGAATAAGCCACTCTACATGTATCATTTTTTTCTTTTCAAATTCACTGAATAAATGCATGTGTTCTAGTACTTTGATATTTTACACACTTTCAAGCAACCTCACTCATCACAATGAAATGTTCATGCTTCTTTCTCTATTTTGGGGGGTCAAGCTCGCTATCCATAAGGACCGCTATTAACAAAGACCATTATTCATAAGGACCGTTATCCATAACGTGTAACAAAATGAATAGCGATCCTTTATGAATAGCGGCCTTTATAAATAGCAACGTCCCCTTGAGCCTATAAAACAGCCAGGCCTCTCATAGCAGTCAATATATCTATACTATACATAAGGACCGCTATCCATAATGCGTGACTACATAAATAGCGGTCCTTATGAATAGCGAGCAGACCCCATTTTGGGGAATATACAGGTGTTCTATCTGAACGTTCTTATCATCCCCTTAACCTGACCCCTGTCCCCTTCTCCCTTTCATTATCAGCCGAGGATAAAAAGAACCTCATTTTCACGGTTGATACCTGCACTAGATGCACCGATCCACCCCTAGATGGCGCTTTAGCTTGTGAAACCTCTCCTTGACATAGTCGTAGAACTCGTAGTCTAATTTCATCCTTTCTTTCATGATTTCCACCGACCTTGCGCTGGGCATCTTCTTGAAAGACGTCTTAGAGACTGCAGAGAATTCATCTGTATAAAAAAAAAAAAATGTTAAGATCAAGAAAATGTGCGTTTTAATTATACACTTGATCTGAATAGAAAAAGCCTTACAATGTAGACGATACACTTTCAATTACACATTTAAAGCAAATCTCTTACCATAACAGAATAAGATATCATATATTTCATCAGCTATTGTATTTTCCTTGCTCTCACAGAAGGTAAAGAGAAATAATCTGGGGGGTGTTTCACAAAGACTAAGATCAACTTTAAGTTGGACTTAACTATGGCAGGCCGTTCATGCCACTGTTTGCTGTCACCATTATGATCTTTAGATAACACTTTTTCCTTCAATAATGATTTATCAAAAAAATGTAACTTCTGTAGATTTGTGACCATGATTTGTATGTCCCTTGAGAGACCAATGCCATTCAATGGTGAGAGCATACTTTGGCATGAACGGCCTGCCATGGTTAAGTCCAGCTTAAAGTTGATCTTAGTCTTTGTGAAACACTCCTGTGGTCTTACAAACTCACATCAAACCAAAATCTTATACCTCACCCTAAAACCTATATCCTTTAAAAAAAAAAGCCCAGAGCAAATATCTCTGGAGAAAATAATGGGTCACCATAGATAAATGACAAACTCTAGGCAACAGGAGGTGCAGTGGCTCAGTGGTCTCGTAACCAGGAGGTCCCAGGTTCGAAACCAAGTCAAGTGCTGGTGCCCTTTGGCAAGGGATTAATCCTCATTACCAAGTCCCTCAGAGAGGATTAAAAGACATCAGTCTCCTGGTCGCTTACTTGCAAGCAAACATATGCTTTTTTGGCAGTCAGATTTTTTAATTTTTTTTTTTTTAAGTAGTCGGGGAAACAAGCCAACCAACCAACTAACCATATCAAACACACAACCATAAAAACGAAACACTCTGGAAAGGATTACCACATATTTAACAAAAAATGTCTTGTAGGCGGTTTAGCAAAATCACTTACCTTTGTTAGCCTGATAATCATGTATGGCACCACCGAACATAGATGGCAGCAGACGCTCTATGACACGGAGGAAGCTTTCATACTCCTCAACGATCCCGACGACCAGGAAATTGTCAAGGTTACGCTTTGCTTGTTCTAAGGCATACTCTGGTGATGTTCTAGGAAGGACATATTAAACGTCATTCAAACATATGGTAAACTGGCAAAATAAAAACTAATTTTTATACATGTAAATGAACAGCAGGTAGTTTTTTTTTTAATGTACCTGCCCTTATCACTCCCACTCCCCCCCCCCCCCCCCATCCAGGTGTACTTTCATATCCGTGTAATAAAACATAAAGTAATGTAAAATGCACTACGCTTGTGTTATTTTAATTTTTCTATCGAATGCAGTTTGCATTTAATGCGTCTTATGAAAATGGTGCTTTAGTAGTGTCAGTGATTGGTAATGCAAAAATAGAAATGGCCTAAATTGTAACAAAGCAAGGAGATATATAATGTCAATTTATAATAGCCTGTGCAACAATAGAATGTGACCTTTTTCATATTTTGTAAAGTACTGTATTTGCCGGTGTAAAGGCCGCAGTATTTTTGGAAGAGAAAATATCAAAAAGTCGGGGTGCGGCCTTTACGAAGAAAGAGTAAAAAAAAAAAAAAAAAAACGAAAGTCAAAACCAACACGAATTTGCACGTATGGGACTAGAAACGGTAAAATAACAATACCACTATGGTACAGGACATTTCCAAACATCTTACCGACAATTTTATCTTGCATTGTTGACATGAAGACGAAAATAAACGTCCTAACCCAACATTTGCCGATAGATCTTGATCTAAGTTCGTGCCAATGCGTTGCAAAGGTAAAGGAAGGGACAGTCTAATGGAGCTGCCGCGAACATCCATCCGAAGTCGCCATTTTGTTTTTCCATTTCATGCAGTTTCGCATTACACCGTACATTGTGGTAGGGGTATATCGGACACCAAATCTGCCTGTGATCACTTTTTTAGCTAAACTTCAGGTAAATTATAAGAACATGGATGAATTTGGTATCAGTTTGTAAAAAAAAATTAGTGTTTTCGAGAAAATTATGATTATTTTGTTTTGTCCGTTTTTTTTCTTCTTGTTTTTCCCTCTTTGAAATGTCAAAGTTGGGGGTGCGGCCTATGCGGCCTTATCGCCGGCAAATACGGTATTGAACAAATCTGTCTTTAAGGGCCAATGTTTTACATGCCAGAGAAGTAAGAAGGGGCATAAAATCAGGTTAAAATCGAAGGATAAGGATAAGTTCATATCAATCTGTGAGATTTTTTTTAGCAAGCTTTCTCTATTCGGATCATTAAATCATACCACAACTCCGCTATAACAATTCACAGTGATTTTAAACTCAGTTTCTCTCTAAATGAGACTTCACTGCAAGAACTCAGAAAGCAGAATATCACAAAGTAGGAACACTGACAAAAATAATGCCTCCGGCTACTTCGTTACAGAGGCATAAAAAGCCTGGGCATTATGTGGGGAATTGTACGTTTATGACAGAGCTCCTACTTACATGCACTTCTCCTCATAGCCGCAAAATGTCCTGATATTGATGTTTGTGTAGTACTCTCCTGTACAGCTAGGGCGGCCTCTCTCAACGCACTCATCATAAGTCTGAGACAAGAAAATCATCGTAATCCATATGTTCTCAATATTATTCAGAAACCTGCATGCTTAGTGGTATAGTTCAACTTGAATACAACTTGAATACAAAATTGAATATCATGACAAGCTATTTTTTCATATATACATATGACCCTTTGATCTTTGACCTCATGACCCCCAAAATCTAATCAGATCATTGGCTCTGCAAGATTCATACATGTGTTGAGTTTGATGGTAATCCGTCCATCAGTTCTAATGATAATGCGAGCACAAGCTATTTTTCGCAAACATAATGAACCCCATGACCTTTGACCGGGTGATCCCAAAATCTGATCAGTTCATTGGCTCTGCAAGATACATACATGACCCAAGTTTGGCGGGAATTTATCAATCGGTTTTTTAGATAACGCGATCACGAGAACGGGACGTACGAACAGACGGACAACCAGAAAACATAAAGCCTCCGGCTACTCTGTTGCGGAGGCATAGAAATCTTATCTGGTAACTCTTGTGTGATTACTGGTCACAACTACATATCAAGTGAAAGTATTGTTGAGCCTAAAACAAGAGCCTGTGTCATCCAACCAGAGTTGCCAACCTTATGCGACCAAAAAAGGAATCATGATGGCAAAAAAAAGGAATTCATAAAAACGAACCTTGCAACCACGCGCGACACACTTCCAATGCAGAAATGTTCATTCCTCATGCTGTTTTTTTCCATACAAGCAGGTTTTTTTTGTTTAGGTTATTTTGGTATTATCGACATTTCATTCTTTTTGAGAATATTTTTCTCTTAAAGTACATTTTGAAATTAGTTTTCTATTGAATTTGTGATCAAATCACCATTTTAGGGCAGTTTTTTGACATGTGCTATGTAAAAAAAAAAAAAAATTATTCAAAAAAAAAGAAAAAAAGAAGTATTTTATGAAGAAAAAACGTAATACCGTAATTTTGAGGAAAAAACGGAGTAACTCCGGCAAAGTACGGAATGGTTGGCAGCTCTGTCCAACCGATTAGTCCCCTTTCAGCAAGTTTCTCACCTGATTGACTGCTGATACGCCCTCCTTGACGATCATCTCATGAAGCTTATTGACGTCCATATCAGCGTCGCCAAAACGCATGAAGTAATACCAGGAGACATGACGGGCTAGTGGGTCTCGAAGCATGCTCACATAGACAGGCATCATAGCTGGGCTAAAGAAGCAAACAATACAGCATTGCTTTCAAATGTCTATTCTTGAAAGTAGGTAAGCAACTGTACATGTATAAACATTAATGAGAAGTGAGGGCATTAATTAGAGGAACCCCCTGAAATCCCTGGAGAATTTGCACAATCACCTCTCATATTAGTGTGACCAAAATGTAATTCTTGACTGCTCTAATATCAGATGAAACATTATGTTGGCTTCCCTCACGAGGATCATTACTACCATTGACATTATGTAGCTCTCACAATCTTCTTGTCGACAGCTGACCATTATTGTCTTAAAGGGATAGTCGAGTTTTGTTGCAGAGGGCGCTACACAAATTAATATTTTTGTGAGATAATGAAAAACTGAGTGTCAAATTTGAAAGAACATACAATTTAAATGACAAAATTATCTTTGTTTGATCAAAATCGGTTCAGAGATGGCTGAAATATCCATAAATATAACAATTTTGTTTACCACCACAATTATAAGATAATTTGAAAAAGCCAAGAAAAAACGAAATAGCGCCTTTTACGTCGTATTTCAGCCAATGCCAATGTTGGCTTTTGGGGGGCATTTTCGTGTTGGTTATATTACGCACAGCCAGCCGGCCCATGTATTGTTATTTTTAATTACATAATTAATTAACAGTCACCGTATTTTTTTGTAAGTGGAGCTGAATTGGTATGATCTTATTGGCTAAATTTCACACATTTTGGGGTCTAAAATTACCTTCATAGCGATTTTAGGTTCTAAAAGGGCACTAGAAATGTCAAAGATAATAATAAGAGCAATAACCATGCACTTTGAAGGCATTTGCGGTCTGAAAACAGAACTCAACTTTCCCTTTAAGATGTGATCGAAAGATTATTTGAAATGGCCGCTTGTAAAAAGGACACAATACGTGCCCACAGAGTTTCCACAGTATAGAGCTCCGAGCAGACCACAACAAGACTCCAAATATCAGGTTTTGAGATACGATGGAAGAAAATTTTGAAACATGGCTTTCCTCTTGTTATGAGCAAAGTTATTTCTAACTGTCCTTTAGAGTAATCAACACACTACAATAAATGTTAATGCACCACGGAATACACACACTTTTCTTAACGTTGTTTGTGATTGAGTTTTTGTTTTTTGTTTTTTAATCACAAAATTTATAATTTTGGTGGTCTATTCCCGAAACGTATGCATTCATGGATGAATAAACTAGGTGGGTAGAAATAAGTCCAAAAGAAACATCTATTGGAAAAAATAAAGAATGCATCGATGGAGAAATAGGATTTTGACTGCAGGAGAGTACTCACTTGGTGAAACCTATGAAGCGTATATGTCCATGAAACAATCCTCCGGGGGGCACGGACTGAAGCTTTTCAGTCAGAAGACTTTTCTGTTAATAAGAAAACACAAAGTGAGAAGTCATGGTTTGCTGACACACAGAGACTCCCAAAGGGAAAGGGCCATGATACTGTGAATGTCAAACAGTTGCATTTAAATAATTGGTGTATCAAAATTTAATATGGAACAAGCGTAATTTTGAAGGCAAGATTGATTTTTTTGTTATACAAATGTAAAGATGCAGTAGGAGAAATGCAATACCAACCCCTCGATCAAATGGTGTTGGTATTAAACTTTACATTGAAGCCGATTTACAACTTTCTAAATTAATTCATTGTTTCATTGAATTATGGCCATTTAAGTTAAATGAAATAAATTCACAATTTACAGATAAAGTTGAGTACTGCTCATGTGATTGCATTGTGAAAATTATTAAGAAATGTTATGTACAACGTTCAGAATTGCAAAATTTTGGAATCCTCACAACGAAAACAGTGATAACCATATTCAGTAATTTTCATGTTATGACAAAGCTGGCAAATTATTTTTCAGAGCTCAGCTTGACATCTATACAAATGACAAGATAAATTCTTAAGCCTGCTGCTAGCTCATTTTTTCTTACCATTTTATTTTCCTCGCTGTTTGCGAGGAGGTAAGGCAAGTCAGTGATGGCACTGATGTTGTTCTTGTCCTTCAAGATCCAAGCCACCCACACAAAGGTCCTACTACCGCACTTTGGAACACTCACGTACACAACATTGTTTGTCTGAATCAGTGGTTTGAGAGGAGAGGAGAGGAGAGGAGAGGAAAGGAAAATTGTTAAAATTTAATACTGCAACAATATTTAACACTCTTCAATCTTTCTCGCTCTTAAAATAGATAAAATGTATCAATTCTGTTTCAATTTATGTATTTCTATAGAATCAGTTGTAGGGCAACAAACATACATAAGTAAGGGATACTAGGAAGAGACTTAATCAAGATTTGGTGCACTAAAAATTCAATATAACATTAAAGTCATTAATGACAGAAGAACAAAATCTTAAAGACTGTGGTCTCACTTGCTGAGAATATCAAATTAAGTTGTTACATATGAAGCAGAGAAATATTTCTATGATAAAAATGTCTACTTTTTAATATTACCCCTTTCATGGTGGCCTGATTTTCATTGGATACATCTGATGAAACGGCGACTATGAATGGTACAGAGGAGAAAAGGCTGATAGAATAGCCATTAAAAAGAAGAGAAATTCTTCTGCTCAAGAGAAGGAGAAATTCTCTTTTCATCTGTGTGACTCTGATGAAACGGCCACTATGAATGGGTTTGGGAGAAAACATCGAAGAAAACAACAATGAAAATGGCCAAAGCCAGTGAATTTCACCGGCAATATGAAAGGGACAGGAGGGAAAGCAGCGGTTTCACCTTTGTTTACATCAGGCAAATTCTATCAGTATTTTCATCGGTGTGGCTCTGATAGAAGGATTATGAAAGGGGTACATAAGATGAACATAGATATATTGTACATGTATGTGAAATACATATAAATTTGGGTGTCCTACATATTTGACTTATTATCACTTAGAACTTAAAGGTACTATGTCCCTTTTGCAGCCAACCTCAAATGCTGTAGAACTTTGCAGGAATTATGAATATGTCATGTATGTCCTATCTGTGAAATTTAAACGTTAGCAGTGTCCTCATATTCAAATTATGCAAGGAAACCCGTTTACTTGCTACACTTCACTGTCAGACACTTGAGTGACTGACTGGCTTTTTTTCTTCTTTGGTAATAACATGCATGAAAAGAGTTGTAAAGGGTACATGAGCATTTGTCTACATCAATAACCCACTTCTTGTGATGGCCAAGATTAAACTGATTGAATCTTTGCGCAGCATAAAACGTATGGACATTCGGTACAATTGTCTGAAAATCAAGACTATTTCTTTTGGGCTCTATAGCCCTAAAGTCGATTTGACAACTAATAGTCATTATTTTCCACCTTGAAGACATTTTCAAGCCCCACCTTTTTTAGGGAAGTTCTAAATTAGTATTATCTTTCAAATGCAGTTGGAATTTAACTTCTTCATTTTTTTGGCCTGCAAATGGGACATACATGTAGTACCTTTAAGAGTACTTTCTACATTAACTATTCTGATACTCTCCCTATAAAACTAATGCTGGCATTCTGTTAAAGTGGAAAAAAAAAACATCTTTCTGTTTTTAGGCTCTTCTGTAAATTTGGAAGGAAAACAATTATTACCTTTCCCTCCACTTGGTGTCCATAAGCTGTATTGTTGATTGAAGCAACAAACTCAGGATCTTCAGGGCAGTTGTGATAATACACTGAGATTCAAATATAAAAAGAAAACAAATCTATGATACAGGAGATGGAAGAGTATGGCTACACATCTTTAATTGGATATTGTGTCACTTTGTTTCATATTGGAGCACAACAAAAGTTCTATGACATTATATACTTTAGCCAAAATTGCTCTATAGTCAGTGTCTTACACAAACAGGGGGTGTTTCACAACTTTGACTAAGATCGACTTTAAGTCGAACTTAACTATGGCAGGCCGTTTTTTGCCACTGTTTTCTCCCACTATTTACTGGCATTTGTCTCTCAAGGGCGGCATGAAAGGCCTACATGTACCAAGTTAAGTCTAACTTAAAGTCGATCTTAGTCGTTGTGAAACACCCCTAGAATCCCTAACTTCACCCTCCCCCTTCCCCCAAATCAAACACAATATTTAGCAACCCCTGACCCTAATCCTAAACCTTACAGATGACCCAATGTTGTATCTTTGACAAAATAAGGCCCAGGACAATTGTCATCAGATATATAGCACATGCATGTTACCATGGTTACCAATATACAGTATGTTTGCACATGTACATGTATCCATATTTCAATCATTTACAGTAACCAGAAGCTTTTTGCAAATTTTTAGAGTGGTAAAAAAAAATAACAAAAGGTCATGCCACATATTTAATGAATCAGAACACAGTAATTTTCTAGTCTGCACAATTCTTTTACATCAAAACAGCCATTATTAAAGGAAACCAAAACCTTCATACTAAGTTACTTTTATTGTAAAGTTTAAGATATTTGAAAAATATCAGTGACAATTTGAACAAAATCGGGCAAGGAATAAGGAAGTAAGAGCTTTTTGAAATGACTAGTCACTAGAGGGCGGTATTCAATTTGATGACATCATCTGTGAACAACTCTCCATGCCTTTTGTACATCAAATTTCATGTTTTTCCTTCTTTCTTGAGATTGAGATAATGTACTACCCCGAAAGCGAGATATAGAATGCAAAATGATATTCTACTTCACATGTTATGAAGTCGGATCAAGAACACAAATAAATACAAAGAAAACAAAAAAAATGTGAAAATTTATGTACAAAAGGCATGGAGAGTTGTTCACAGATGATGTCATCAAATTGAATACCGCCCTCTAGTGACTAGTCATTTCAAAAAGCTCTTACTTCCTTATTCCTTGCCCGATTTTGTTCAAATTTTCACTGATTTTATTCAAATCTTTTAAACTTTACAATAAAAGTAACTTAGTATGAAGGTTTTGGTTTCCTTTAACAATTTGTTGGTAATGTTTCGATCATTGACCAGAAACTTTTGCAATTTCTCAGAGGGATCAAGAAATTAAAATGTCATGCCATCTTAACACTGAAATTTTTTGATAAATGCAAACAAAAATTCCCACAATTTCAGACAGTTGCAGACAGTAGTTGGGCCTTATTAAGGGAACATTTCTAATCCCTGTGCAAAGAAATGGGAGGTGGCCATGGATTATACAATGCAGAATTGCAGATTGACCAGTCAATGGATTTCTTGTTTACACACTCTTGTCCCAACTTTGTAAACATTCAAGACTCGTCTTTACATAGCTTTTGTTTGATTTGTGCCTGAAGTTTGCTGTCAACACATTATGCAAAGTTCAGACCTGTAGCTAAGACCTACCATGTACTCAACTGTGTTGACAAAACTGAATACCGTACTTTTCAGTGCATGAAATTATGTAGACATCTTTAGCAATGCCCCTTTTTCTTTGTAATTTTATGTAAAATTCTTTGGGTATTTCTGTGATTTAAAAAAAAACTAAAGTTAACGACTAAACATTTAGCAGAGAAACCGTATTGACTCAGGCCTAGTTCACTGTCAGGAGACTTATGGCCATTCAAAAAACAAAACATGTTTAACTTCCTGCCTTTTTGAAAAATAGGAAGGAGGATCTTTTTTTTTTCTTCATAAGTGTTGGGCTATTTTTCAAGATGGCCGCTGGCATTTCAAAAAAATAAAAATAAAATCAGTAATAGATCATTTAAGCAGTATATTCTTCATGTTTTTTCATTTATAAAGTAACAAAAAAAAAGGAGGAGGACTCACAAAAAGGAAGTAGGTAGGGAAGCTAAACATTATTATTTTCTTTAAAGGGAAAGTCCACCCCCAAAATAAGTTTGTTTCGATAGAGGCAGAATAATAAGAAAATCAGGTGAGTGAAAGTGTGAGCAAATTCTGAATGAAAATAAGAAAGTTATGAATTATTGAAGTTGTGATCAATCAAATACAAATTGGAAACTCTGTGACTTATTATACGAGCTCTCCTTCATTTGCTTTGTGCATAATATTCCATAAAATCATATTTTCTTCGTTATTGATGACGGAATATATATTTGTTCCTTGCAGGGGGAGTATAGAAACATATTTGCAATTATTATATTTAGGGTGCATGTATGGTTGAAATTTTTCTTGAGGGAAAATGAAAATTTTAGATTTTTTTAGTACTGAGCAAATGGAAGTTGAGCTCGCATGATACGTCATAGAGTTGCCAATTTGTGTTTGATTGATCACAACTTCAAAAATCCTAACTTCCTTGTTTTTAATCGGAATTTGCTCAAACTTTCACTGACTTGTTTCTCTCATTTTTCTACTCCTATTAAAACTAACTTAATATCAGGGTGGACTTCCCCTTTAAATGGCCCACAGCACCCTTCTGGCTCTTGTGCACATGAATAATATTTTGTAAAACCCATCAATATACCCTTTAAACTCACCTTTGGTGTTGCTCAAGAGGTGTTCACTTTTAAAGAGCGCCTGCCTGACCCTTGACCCTGTCCTTGTATCCAACCATTCAGAATGCTCATCACGGATGATGAGAAGAAAATAGGCAGCGCTGACAATTGAAAATCCTATCAGCACCCATGCACATCTTGCCTTACGCATCTTGGGTGGGGGAGGGGGTGGGGTGCGGCACAGGAAAGAGAGTGATGATGGTTCCTATTCTCAGATGAGATGGGGCTGTGGGAGTGATATTTCAGAAGCTTATCATTGTTTCGTTTAACTTTGGGAAGCACTGATGCTGATCTCTGTGTACAGTTTTGCCAGAAAATGAGAAGATACAAAGTGAAGAGGTTGCTCAAGTGATGGTAGTCGTTTTTCTGATACTGATCGACACAAGGGATGGGGAAAATCTGTGATCTTGGAAGGTCCAAGTTTAATTTCTTTCCAGTGCTCCTTGCATCAAACTCACGTGATGACCCAAACCTGAAGACAAAATTATAATAAAGATAAAAGATAAATATTCAGGCTGGACGTGTACCAAACTGCATCTTCTGTAGAACCTTGTTTACACATATTTTTTCACGAATCATTCACAAGATAAATTGTCTACTATAAAAATTACAAATATCTCCAAGCTTTACTTTGCCTTCATTCTAAAGACAAACAACACAAAAATGAAGTGTCCCGAGGCAACCCCTGGCCCTAGGCCTAGATCTAGGCCTAGCTGCTAGTGCTACTGCTAGATCTAAATGATCTGGAAATCATGCTCAGCTCATCCCGCTCTAGATCTACCTCCAGGCTAATTTCATTGGGCCTAATTTTATGGATAATTAATATGTACTACTAGACTAGGCCTACTGGAATAAACGGTTTTCAGACGAGTCAATTCAATGCCGTGGCAAATGCCAGTCACGCGGGTGAACCGTAACGACCGCATTTTCGACGGCAAAACGCCCGCACATTCCCCGTCTGATATCATTGCGTATCCGCTAGATAAGTCGCCGTGCGAATGATCTCTACATTTCAGCTAATTTTAGCTATTTTCAAAATAACATTCCATCTCCTTTTAATCCTTGACGATAAAATTGGAACTTGAAATTATTTCCATACAAGTTTCATGCGTTGAAATCATCACAAAAGTCATAATTATGCTTACCAAAAATGCAATAAATAGAGAGTGCTAAAACTAGCTAGCGATCCGATGTGACGTAATGCGCTCAGGGTACGGCCGGCCGGGTGCAGCTAACTGATCAGTGGTGCATAGCCACCAAGATGCCACACATGCATTAAAGTTACCATTTGTTTACATTACATGAGGGTGTGGTCTGCGGGCGTGGCACAGAATCTATCTGAGCAAATTTAATAAATTGAAAAGTTCCCTAAACTTATCAAAAAAATAAAAATTAAGACCATTAGAACCTTGTTATGTGAGGAGGTATCTATATTATGAACAGAAACGGATCCATGATTCAGTCATTGACTCACTCCAGTACCGCGGGGCCTACAAAAAAGATAAAAATATCATGAAAAAGCAAACTGCAGAGAAGGAGCTACATACCTAGAGGAGGGGGGGGGGGGGGGGGGGAGAAGAAGACAAAAAAGAGAAGGGAAGAAGGAGAAGAAGAATAAGTAAAATTTGTTTCAGATTGTTTAATTGGCAGCCCAATCATCTTGCTCGGGAGGGGGGGGGGGGGCGTACAAACACAAATGGGGGTGCATGCCCCCTCCCCCTCCCCGACTGGATCTGCCTAGGATAAACATTTTGACCTATACCCAGCATCTGTATGGATATAAGTAATCAATTAAACAAAATCGAGGAGGACGGTGGGGGCCCGGGGGGGGGGGGGGGGCCGGTGTGACCGCGTAGAATGTAACCCGCACCGATCGTCCGACTATTAGAGATCGATCGAGAGCGGACGATCGGTGCGGATTTTATCCGCGCAGAATGTCCGTGTCGGACATTCCGTGCGCGCCTCAAATATCTGACGGACAATCCGTGCGGAAGAGGTCTCGCACCAATAGTCCGCCTGCCGCACCGAATGTCCGTACTCTAGTCCACACGTATACATAATTATAGTCAATATAGTGGAGGCTGTTAGGGCTAAAAAGGGGTTGTTTGGTGCAGATTCTTCTAAAAGCACCAAATTTGGCCCAGAGGTAGATTATACCATACTTTTACGATTTCTTCCGGACGCCAAGAAGGGCACCCTCTGGGTATGCCATATTGGGCAAATCCAAAATGGCCGCCATCTGAGTTAAAGGTCAAGCGTAGTTCCGAAAGGAAAAGCGGTTGTATGATAATAGTTTATCTATTTATGGGGTTTTGGTGGTCAGAGAATCTGATTTTGATGTTCTTTCATCGATTTGAGGTCTCCTAGGGTCTGCCATACTGGTCATATTGGTCAAATCCAAAATGGCCGCCATCTTATAGTTACACATCAAGTGTAGTCACGAAAGAAAATGGGCTAGTATGATAAAAGTTTATATAAAAATATCTATGGGGTTTTGGGGGTCAGAGAATCTGATTATGATATTCTTTCATCAATTTGAGATCTCCTAGGGTCTACCATACTGGTCATATTGGTCAAATCCAAAATGGCCGCCATCTGATAGTTACACATCAAGTGGAGTTACGAAAGGAAATGGGCTAGTATGATAACAGTTTATATATTCATGGGATTTTCGGGGTCAGAGAATCTGATTATGATATTCTTTCATCGATTTGAGATCTCCTCGGGTCATACTGGTAATATTGGTCAAATCCAAAAAGGCCGCCATCTGATAGTTACAGATCAATAGTAGTTCCAAAAGGAAAAGAGCTAAAATGATAACAAATTTATATAGTAAGGGGGTTTTCTGGGTCAGAGAATCTGATTATGATGTTGCTTGTATCAATTGCAGGTCTCCTTGGGGCTGTCATGCTGGCCATATTGGCCAAATAAAAAATGGCCGCCATCCGAGTTAAAGGTCAAGCGTAGTTTCAAAAGGAAAAGGACCAGTATGATAAAAGTTGATGAATTCATGGGGTTTCCGGGGTCGGATAATCTGATTATGATGTTCTTTTATCAATTTTATTTCACCATCCTGTCCTAAGGCTACAATGAAGTCCATTTCCTGGTTGAAGAAGATGAGGGAAGATGCGCCAAATTCACACTTGAGTGGGTTTAAATCTTGGCCTGCGCCATTATGTTTCATCAATTTGCAAACTTTCCTCTGTGAAATGCATAATAAATTCGTTTTCGAGGATTGGCAAGGAAAATAGATAAACAGTAGAAACAGACCATGAATAAAGAAATAAACAGCTTGTTCGATTTGCCTTGAAGCATTATATTCAAAGATCCGGACAGCTTTATCTTTATTATCCATATAAATAACGTATATAATCACTGTCAGACGGGAGATAATACCAATACGAAATGCATTAAGCAACGTCTAGACATAAAGGTCGAATCTCAACTTTAGTTTTCTCATTCTTCTTTACATTTCAAAGCGTTACATGGGATCTTAATCCTTTTTTTTCTACATACATTAATGCCCCCATTTAAGCATACTTTGAATCTGGTCACGCTTCGAAAAGTTCGTGGCCTAGCATTTTGCTTCTGTTGATGTAATAGAGAAAGCACTCTTTATAGATCAGGGAGTGTGAACAAAGCACGAAGTAGGAGCAGTGCAATTTAAATATCAAGGGATGGATTAGAGTTTATTTCTAAAATGAAATGAAAGGGCTATTTTATTTTCATGAGTCCTTTCACTTCGTTGAAGAAATAACCTCTCTTTATATCTTAGAGACACTTTCTCTTGAAAGTCAAATAAACTCGAGAGCATCCTGGGGCTCCGCCCTGGAACCCCCGGTAGGGGCTCTTCCAGGCCCCTAAAGCTGTGCCATATTGTACAGATCCATTAGAAAGCAAAATAAGCCCAATAAATAATTTGTATATATATATATATATATATGTATACATATATATATATATATAGTTCTCCTATGCAAACTTCCTCTGTGAAATGCATAATAAACTCGTTTTCGATGGTTGGCAATGAAAATAGATTAACAGAAGAAACAAACCATGAATAAAGAAATAAACAGCTTGTTCGATTTGTTTTGAAGCATTATCTTTAAAAACCCGGACAGCTTTATCTTTATTATCCTTAAAAAATAACGTCTATAATCACTCTGAGATGGAATAAAATACCAATACGAATTGTATTATGCAACGTCTAGACATAAAGGTCGAGTCCGTGGGGACTTGGATCACGATAATGCCGATAATACTTTACCGATGACCAGATTTCAAGTAAAGTTTACTATAAAGAACCAATTCCGACATTCAGAAATGATTTTCGGTGACTGATGTGTCAGATGTGATCATTCACAAAGGAAAGGCCAGCACACACAAAAATAAAGTTCCTCTCTCAGCTCTCTTTATGTTCATGTGACCTTTGTAAAAGTTCGTTCCCGATTTTGGCGCATGCGGAGTGTGCAATTACGAACTCGCTTATGGATACAAGAACATCATAATCAGATTATCCGACCCCGGAAACCCAATGAATATTATTCATCAACTTTTATCATACTAGCTCATTTCCTTTCATAACTATACTTGACCTGTAACTCAGATGGCGGCCATTTTGGATTTGACCAATATGACCAGTAAGGCAGCCCCAAGGAGACCTCAAATCAATGAAAGAACATCAAAATCAGATTCTCTGACCCCCAAAACCTATAAATATATAAACTATAATCATATAAGCGCTTTTCCTTTTGGAACTATACGCTTGACCTTTAACTCAGATGGCGGCCATTTTGGATTTGCCCAATATGGCAGTCCCAGAGAGCGCCCTTCTTGGCGTCCGGCAGAAATCGTAATAGTATGGTATAATCTACCTCTGGGGCAAATTTGGTGCTTTTAGAAGAATCTGTACCAAAATATCCCTAACAGCCCCCACTAATACAAGTATAATTATACTTAATGAGTGAAACGACTAGATAACCCATATTCAGCTTTGCCAGCTAGCTAGGGACCACACTACAGGTCGTCCAGGGGGAGGGGGGGGGGCGGGGCGAGAGGGTCTTGACCCCAAACCGCCAACAAAAAATGAAGAGAGAGAGAGAGAGATAGAGAGAGAGTCAGAGAGAGAGAGAAGGTAAAGCAGAGAGTAAGGGAATGGAAGAAGAGGAAGAAGAACAGAAAAGGGGGAAAAGAAGGAGATCGGGGGCGAAAGGCCTTTGCCACCCCTCCCCCCTCCCATCAGCAAAAGAGAGATAGAGAAAAAGAGAGAGAAAGAAGGAAGGAAAAATAAGGGAAAGGGAAAGAAGAGACCAAGGGAAAGGAAGAAGAAAAGAAAAGTGGAAAGAAAGAGATCGGGGGCCGCCGGAAGGGCTTTGCCTCTCAGGCTGTTGCCCCCCCCCCCCCCCTAAGCAAAAAGAAAGAAAGAAGGAAGAGAAGGGAAAGAAAAAAGGGAAAAGAGGAGACAAAGGGAAAGAAAGAAAAGAAGGGGGATATCAGTTGCAGTTTTCAGTTTCAAGTTTTATTTCTGCATTTTCCATAAACAATAACAAAAATAACAATGAATACATTTTAGCAATATAATGATGAGTAATACAAGTAGTAATTCACAAATAAATAAATATAAATAATCAATAGTACAATTAATCGTATTTGAAAAGAAAGAAAAGGGAGAGAATGCAGAAGACCGATATCGTAAGCAGAGCTTGAAATGATACCGGCCTTACAAAAGGAGGAGAGGAGACAGTTGCAGTTTTCCCGCCAACAAGTTGGGGATCGGGGGGGGGGGTAAATGGCCCTTGTCCCCCCCCCCCCCCCTTCTACAGCAAACTTAAAAGAGAGAGAAAGGAAGAGAAGGGAAAGGGAAAGAAAAGAAAGGTACAGGAGATCAATTGTGATTTTTCCTACCAATCCGGTGTGGATCGGGGGCGAAAGGCCTTCGCCTGCCCTCCCCTGGCAAACGATTAGAGAGAGAGAGAGAAGGAAGGAAAAGAAGGGAAAGGGAAAGAAGAGAGAAGAGGAAAGGAAGAAGAAAATAAAAAGGGGAAAATAAGTAGATTGGGGGGGGGCGGAAGGGCCTTGACGCCCATGCTGTTTCCTCACCCCCCCCCCCCCGCAAAACAAGAGAGAAGTAAAGAAAGGGTAAGAAATAAAAGAAGAAAAGAAAAGAAGGGATATCAGTTGCAATTTTCTGCAAACAAGATGTGGATCGCGGAAAAAGGCCT